ATTTATAAATCATGCAGGTGAGTTAGATTTTGGGTGCATATTTGTCCAATTCCCTTATAAGGAAAACAAGTCAGATAATGTGTTAGATACGGGTATTCAAAATTCTACAACAAGTCGTAAGAGAAGAATATCTTCTGGAAGACTGCATGAATGCTTTGGATACAGCTGCTCAACATTTTATAGCCGTCAAAAACGGTTATATGATGCAGCATTTAGTAACTGGGACTTCTGGAAATGTTACTGCTCATCTAGAGGAGAGGTGGCAGGGGATAATACAGTAACATTGCCTTCAAGTTCAACTGTCCAGGAAACAGTGTGTCAGCGACGTCTCGTAAACCGTCAGTGCCTAGCTCTTGCTAAGCTCGGCCTCACACTGTTCCTTGAAGTTTCTCAGAAACGCTTAGTAATAACGGACGAAAAAAACCAAAACACCAATTGTTGACTCGAGGATTCTTTATTGTACCACCAACATATAATTATTGTTATAACTGAGGTCTGTGAACAAATATTACAATAATAAATCACAATATTACTTCTGACGGTTGTCCCCTGACTTCTTTCTGAACAGCGACCGATGAGACGATGACTGTCGTATTGATGCCTCCACGAAAATTGGGGAAGTTGGTTTTGAGCAAACAACCATGAATTGACCGTTCAATCTTGAACTACATTGACACAGTGGGTTTACCTACTACTAGTGAGACCGTCGCTGTTGTTGCACAAATTGAAGAGAATCGTAACTTTTATTATTATGTAATAATTAGTTTCAACAGAAATTTAGGTTGTTCCTGAAAAATGACACAAAAAGAGCTGGTCAGAATGTCGATTATGGAATTGTTCCTTCAGAACAATGTGACAGGGGTGCTTGCTCAAAATATCTTCACTGTATTCGTAAATTTAATCCACATGTACCAACAACCATAAGAGGCTTGCTAGAAGATAGCGGCATGTGTGTACCTAGATTTCTTGGACAAGTTGTTTACTATCACTGTCAATGGAGTTGAAGATTGAACGATCAATTCATGGTTGTTTGCTCAAAATCAACTTCCCCAATTTTCGCGGAGGCATCAATACGACAGTCATCGTCTCATCGGTCGCTGTTCAGAAAGAAGTCAGTAGCAAACCATCAGAAGTAATCTCGTGATTTATTATTGTAATATTTGTTCACAGACCTTAATAGAAATATTTTTTATATGTTGGTGTTACAATAAAGAATTCCCAAGCGGCCAATCGGTGTTTTGGTTTTCGCGTCCGTTACTATTAAGCGTTTCTGAAAAACTGCAAGGAACAGCGTGGGCCCGAGCGTAGCAAGAGCTGGGCATTAACGGTTTATGAGACGTGACTGACAATCACATTGGACCGAAGGAAAATCTGCAGCATTTATCTGTGACACGCCTGCTCGATCTAATGTAAAACAAACCGTCGGTCACAATGGAAAAACAGGTTGTGATAAATGTGAAGTTATAGATTGTCGTTTGGAGGGTGGGATGACATTTCCTAATGGGAACCAGACACTTGGAAATGACAGGACATTCAGGGCGAAACTTTAAGCAAATCACCATCGGGGCTGAAGCTGTCTTGAGGAATTGCCACTTGACATGGTAAAATCGTTTCCCTTGGAGCCAATGCATCTAATATACCTCTGTGTTGTTAAGAAGTTAGTGTTCCTTTGGCAGGGTCTTGCAGCACGGCGAGAGAAGCAAATAGATAGTAAGATTATCGCAGATATTAATAACGGACTGCAAGTATGTAGGAAACACATTCCTTGTGATTTGCAGAGGAAATGTCGGTCGTTAGATGACGTTAGCCAGTGGAAAGCAACTGAGTGTAGACTTTTCTTACTATATTTGGGTCCCATCCTACTTAGAAACACTCTGCCATGCCACCTGTACGCTAATTTCAGGAGATTATCCCTGGCAGTATACTTACTTTCGACTACCGAATACAGCTGATTGTTTTTGGATGCTGATCGGACAGATTTGAGTAATTTTGTACTGCAATATGAGAATTGTTTCGGAAATGAACATATTGTTTACAGTATACATTCTCTCAAACATATAGCGGATGACGTCGAGCTGCATGGGCCACTAGAAGAATTCAGCGCATTTCCCTTCGAATTTTATATGCACAAGATAAGACAGTCCGTGCACTGTGGTTATCCTGTGGCTAAGCAGGCAGCTCAGCGCTATGTTGAACACGTGTACTTAATGAAAAGTACAGGTGTAAAGCACGTACCTAAAGAAGTTGGTACTAAGTGTGTTGAATTTTGCAAAGGAAAGCTGAGGTATCTGAATACCATATTCACATCTTATTCTTCGGATAATGTCATCTTAGCCTTAGGTAAACCAGGGAATATAGTTGAAATAGAAAGTGAAGATAGGATATGTTTTCGAACCTATAGCGATTATAGTGATGATTTTACTACACCATTTAAGTGAAGGAATTCAGGGATATTTAGATGTTCGAAATTCAGTCACGAAACACATTGGATATCCTATGTGAATATTGTCTGCAAGTGCATGACTGTTCCAACAACTAATGACGAAGTAGTTATCCCCCTGCTTCACTCTTTTAATTGAAAGTACTGTGCCGTAATTTTTGGCTTGAACTGTTGATATGTAATCCGTCTAAGTTTTTCGTAACGTCTATTTGTTGTCAAGTCCGAGCATCTCCCTCTACTGGCTAATGTTGTTGGTGAAACTGAAGTTCATTTGACAGTTTATTCCGCGTTTTTGAGATATAGGTATATCCATGCTGTTATTGATTTTCAGCAACCTGATACATGATAAAGTAACAGCCGTATTTCTACTTCATTACACATCCTTTTGCAGAATTCTATACCAATCAGATACCTCGTCGTCCGTTGGCTAGAAGATGACCCTGTAGGCGCTATCACAAACGCTTAGGTTATGCGAAGTGGTTTATGTGCGTACAGCAGCACAGCAAACCATCTGGAGCCCATGTTTACCGGGGCTGGATGGTCAGTGTTTCAATTCCGTCAACTGCAGGAATTTGGTAAGCTGGGATATTTCATTATCACCCTTCTAGATACGCATGAGAGTTGTAAAAAGGGTGTAGAACTTTTGACAAGCAATGATCAATGCACCAAGAAGGTAGACATGGACGGTGATACGTTGCCAATGCCTAGTAAGAGACCGCAAAGGTAGGTACTGTTGTCTGTCTAACACATTTTTCAGGGATGCCAGAAAAAATGATAAAAATTTCCTTTACAACTCAATGGATATTGATGTAGCCGCCGGTGAGGTTGTTTGCATAAAACCACAATATCCAGATTATAACATATTTGATGACTTCGTGGCCCCAATTCCAAGGTATTAACCCAGTTGAAAGCCCCTCACTTTCAGTACTTTGGGTGCCCCCATATTCCAGTCTTCATCTCCTGTTGGTAAAAAGACAAGTGTGTGTGACCGGTAGGAATAATTGTTACAATTTTTATTCATGCTTTAGATTGCCGTCTAACGAATATGCTACTGAATCCTCAATTAAGAAATTACTCGGTAATTACTTAAAAATAACTATTCATTTAAAGATGCTGTAATGGAAAATATCAATTTGAGTACAAAAGTCCTGAATATTGTTACAATGAACCACAAATCTCGACTGCAAACCAACATTCCAGCAAACAAGGAATTAACAATTGCGTTTCCGATAGAGAATGAAGACCAGTTACAGACGCTGGAAGCATCTTTAAGAGACGACAAGTACAAACAGCAACATGTGAGTTGACATACTTAATTCTTATTTCTTGCAGACTGCTTAGATGGCTACTTGCCTTCAGAGTGATCCAAAGTTATCACTTAAAGTCATGATGCACCATATTCTAAAACCTGAACTGGGTTTGAAGTTTACATTCCAGGGGACTGACAAAGTCAAGCATTGTGCCTTATGCCTTTTATAAAATAATGAGATGTAAGTTTCATTAATGAAGTAATTAGTTCTGTAGCTTTAATTATGTCGCACTTCTCCGGCCAACTAGAGAGAGTGGTGACATGATGGATAGAGCCGCGAAATGGTACTTTCATAATCTGAAAGATCCTGTCCAAAGGAGCAAGCGGAAGCAAGGAATTCAGGTAATACTGAGAAACGCCTGCTTACTTTTATAAGTGAACGTTTATTCAACATTGTTTTCATTTTTAGGCAAATGAAAAAGATACCAGAGGATATAGCAGTGGCACTTATGTAAGTAAACTTTTATAAATGTAAATGCTTAGGAAGTGCTGAGCACAATAGTTTACCCACAAATATTTTATTTTGCTTATTTGCAGGATGCTACCAGTGGATCGCACTTGACGGGATTGCAATGACATTGTACTACAGTTTACAAATACAAAAGTCTCAATTATAAAAACTGATTTATTCTGCAAACTAAATGAATTGCGCCGGCGTAGGACACAGTTGAGGATAATAATTAGAAGTCTCTTCGTTCTAAAGCAATGTTAGTCAGTGCTGAAAATGATCTGAAAGGGCTGAAATAAAGCTGATAAGCAAACCCGGTAGGTGCTGAATTAGCGCTGGTTATGCTGAAAGCTAGCACTGAGTTCTAGTCTGTGCCATTAAACAATCGACTGCAGAACAAATTCAGAATTTACTCACTATAGGATGCTAGGATTATTTCAGAATTACTGAGATTTAATTCAGAATTATAATAAGCTTAGGATTAAGTCTTCATTGAATGATACTATGCCGACAGGTACAGTTTCTACATGGAGTAAACGATTTGTGTTAATGGAATTACCCTCCAACTATCCTATCTTCCTCATTACACCGATATTTTGATACAGTCCGCCTGAAACACTAATCATTGCAACCAATATGCTAAAAGTGTGTCGCAGTCAGATCACATGATGCGGACACCAACATAACTAGCCAAAAAGTGGGAATTTCCATCAATCCAGATAACATATAACACAATTTTATTAAAAATTGTTGGCAAAAAAATTTCCAAGCGGAACTTCAACAGAACGTGATAAATAAGTCCGGCCGCTTGAAGCCTCCTATCCTGAACTAAAAATGTGACTTTGAATTGGAAGGTTTTTGAAAGTTGTCTTTACCCTGCTTGTATGTACAAGGTCACTTGGTGGCCCAGTGTATTTTTACCGGTATCCGTATTAGTCGTTGGGTATTTTGTTCATCAATTCATCTTTTCCATGTGCATTAGACGCTAATAATATGTATCGATTTGTATGGCGCAATATCCTACCTAAGCTTACAACGGCTTTTAGATTTTGCTTCAAGAGTCGTGCTAATAAACTCTGAACTGGAGCTTTACTTATGGTGAGCGAGTATTACAGTAGCTGAATTTTCCGCGCTATACAGCACTGTACCATCTCATTATTTTAACATTTCCTGCCATTTTTCCAGTACCTACCCAATTAAAAATATTTGCGGCATATTTAGGGAGTTTGGGAAAAAATGATATATTTCCCCGAAAGTTTTACTTCGAGTCACCCCTAAATATCCTGGAGTCGCCCTAAATTTCTTAATTTTTCAAAGCACTAGTTCAGAACTTATAATTATAGGTATTGTTTCTTCTGTTTCCTAGAGGGACAGAGCTTCAGCCGTACGGTGTAGTACCGCACTGATTATCATTGCGTCTTCATCACTTCTGCACCAAATGCTATTTTTGACCACTCTCTGCATAGGCTGTGTCCATTTTCACTACACAGCATTCAGAGCGTATTGTGTATTCACGGTTCAGAATTAGTTTATCGTTATTGCAAGCTTGGGATGCTTCCCTTTTCTGACCGTTAAGAATTAGCAGCACACTTTGTTTCTTTTTGGGCATTGGCCAAAGTTAGATTCAGCTACTACAATAACTTCACTATGAAGGATTTAAATTTGTAGGCTTTTGTCCGGAAGTAGGGAGACTTCTGGGAAACATCAAAACGCATATATTTTGTCGACACCCAAAAGTATAAATGCTACCTAGTTTGGTCTTCACGGAATTTTACGCGCACTGTAAATAATATGAACAAAACACGAGTGACACTTACGGGTTCGACTGTCCTTTTCTTGGAGTTTTTCGTCTGTAGGACATTCCGCAGTTTTAGACTATGTCTGTGTTAAAAGCAGCCATTGAGAATAACCAGCTCTACCGAGTTTGAGTCACAATAAACTATTGAAAGTTTTAGACCAACATACATATTTAAGACAATTAGTTCCCTTTATGAATTTAGATAAAGCAATAAGAAAACTTAATTTGTCTGAATTATGTAATGTATTTGCGCAACACATTTCCAACAATCTGATCACCCACGGACTTGTTATAGGAATATGTGTATACGAAGTTAATAAAGAGTTAAGAGGTAAGAAAATAGACTTAGGTCAAGTTAAAAGGACATATTCAAAGTGAAAATAACAATGAAGACCACTAAACCAAATAGCAAAGGTAATAGTACATCTTCTATGGTATCAAAACAAAATAACTAGACAAAGACTGAACGTTGCTATTAAAAAGACTTCTTATGCAGCTAATATCATAATAATAGGGAGTGTGAAGCCAATTTATCCACCCATCTAAGCCCTTCGAACATGCAAAAAATGATGTCACATCCCGACCGAAAGCTGCTACCTTGACGTGGTGGTCGGGCTTGAACACCGCAATGACCTAATCAAGCTATACTGGCTGAGACTTATGTCTCTTGAGGTTCTACCATGCCAGGCAGGTTGTTTGGATAGCGGTTAAACAAAAAGCAGCTACCCAATCCAACATCATGTCCAATACAAAATTACAAAATTTCATGCCGGATCGGCCGTGGCCCGGATTAACAACGACCGCGCTTCCTGCTGCCGTGTCACAGGGCAGGAGTGATAAATCTGCTACTGAGACACACCAAACAAAAAAGAACGAACAAAAACAGGCCGCGTGTGACCGGCCTCAAGCAGTTGTCCCCTGGGCTCTGCGGTCACGCAACCAACTTCCACGGTGTGGGCAGCCGGGAAGTAACAATCGCCCTCACAATCCGAAATGCACACGAAACCTCTCTATTACTCACTCATCTTTGTCTTCATCTTCATCTCTATCATCTTGCCTTCCTTCCACTGATGCAACTCCTCGACTTGATAGCTCTCCACTTCCTCTCCACTCTGCGTCCACTAAAAACGATGGAAGCCAAAAAACCACCACCGACAGCCTCTTAAAGCCGCGCCACCAATTTCATATAGGAGCTCTTAATGTTAGGACACTTTGCCAAATAGGACAACAAGCATCACTAGCCAAGACCCTGGCATCACGAGCCATTGATGTATGCTGTGTTTCAGAAACACGCATACAAGACCCAAGTGTGGTTATTCACCTAACCCCACCTGGCCAACAGGTTGAATCTGCAAAATTCACCTTGAGGGTGTCAGGAGATGCCACAGCTAGTTCACGAGGATTAGCTGGCGTAGGGATAGCTTTGAGTACTAGGGCAGAAAAGACATTGCTTGACTGGATCCCGGTAGATAGCCGAATGTGTGCTGTCCGCCTGAACGGATCAGTAAGAAGGAGGAAGGACTGCACTACTCGCCGATGCCTTTTCGTAATCTCCGCCTACGCCCCCACTGACTGCAGTTCAGATGAAACGAAGGATGAGTTCTACCAAAAGCTGTCTAGTTTGGTGGAAAGGCTAAACGCTCAGACATAGTCGTTCTAGCTGGTGACTTTAACGCTCAAGTAGGGAAATTGTGTCAATCTGAGAAGGATGTCGGTGGCACCTATGGAGTTCCGTGCCAGCGAACCGACAACGGTGACCGTCTCCTACAGTTCTGCTCTGATAATCATTTGTTTCTTGTAAGCACTAACTTCAAACACAAGGAGAGACACTGTTTGACTTGGAGACCCCCTTCATCAAACCAACGCTGGACACAAATAGACCACATAGCAATAAGCTATCGTTGGCGTGGGTCGGTAGGAGATTGTCGCTCCTTCTGGAACACGTGCGTAGATACCGACCATGCACTGGTCCGCGCTCGGGTGTGCTTACGACTGAACGGACGTAGGAAACAGCTGGCGGTAAAACCATCACGTCCCCAGCTCGATCAGGAAACTAAATCCGTATTTCAGGAAGAACTAGCTAAACACATATCTGTGTTCGACAGCTGTGCTCACCCTGAAGAAGCTTGGAAAAATATCCAGGCAGCCATAGATACAGCTGTAAAAGCTGTGAATAAGGTAAACCCAAAGGTGAGTAAAAACCACTGGATCTCCACCGCCTCATCCGAACTGATAGATGCTAGAAGACTTATTCCGGCGAGCTCCGAATTCAATGAGGAGCGAAAGCTGCACAAGAGGAAACTTACGAAAAGTCTCCGCAAGGACCGTGAACAGTGGTGGGCGACAAAAGCCAAAGAGATGGAGAAAGCTTTGAGGATAGGCAACACCAGGCAACTCTTTGGACTCATCAGGGAAACGGGTGGGAGAAGACAAATCATTAGTGAGACAATCTCGGAAAAAAATGGCACTATAATTAGCTCCCAGGATAGACGACTGGATCGTTGGAAAGAGCATTATGAGGAGCAGTTTAATTTGCCCACAGCCACGCTCAACCTTCCGAGCATCCAACACCTCCCTGAATGGGATATAAACACAGGTCCTCCGTCACTAACTGAGGTTACTAAAGCTGTCACCAATCTGAAACTAGGCAAAGCAGCGGGACCTGATGGAATGACTCCAGAGGTATTTAAGTACGGTGGAGACAGCTTACTGTCCGGATTAACTGAGGTACTAGGCAGCGTCTGGGAATCAGAAGAAGTCCCATCGGGTTGGTGTAAGTCACTGATTATCCCCATATACAAGAAGGGAGACAAGTCTTCCTGTGATAATCACAGAGGGATTAGCTTGACTAATATAGTATCTAAAGTCTTAGGCTCAATAATCATGCGTAGACTGAGTGGTGCTCGGGAAGCACAAACACGAGAGAGCCAGGCAGGCTTTAGACCAGGAAGAGGGTGTATTGATCATATCTTCACCCTCCGACAGATTCTAGAACATAGGCATTCCTACCGGCGTCCAACAGTCATTATATTTCTTGACCTAAAGGCAGCATTCGACTCTGTCGATCGGGAAGTTCTCTGGAGATGCTTGGCTGTAAAGGGAATTCCAAGAAAATATATTGCACTGATTAAGGCACTCTACTCGTACTCATACAGCCAGGTGAGGGCTTACGGCGAGCTGTCATCTGAACTGATGACGACCAGTGGTGTCCGTCAAGGATGCCCATTATCTCCTTTTCTATTCAACTTCATCATAGATGTGTTAATGGACTTAACCCTAGGTGACTTCAGCGACTCAGGGATTGACTTGCTACCGGGGAATAATCTCGTTGACTTGGAATATGCAGACGATATAGTCCTTCTAGGCGAAGACGCTGACGAAATGCAGAGTCTTCTAAACACCTTGAGCAGCAATCTACGAATGTTTGGCATGCGATTCGCTCCCGCCAAATGCAAGATGATGTTACAGGACTGGACTACATCGACGCCTAGTTTAAAAATAGGAAGTGAAGTGGTAGAGCACGTTGACCGCTTCACTTATTTGGGAAGTACCATCAGCCCCAACGGGCTGATCTCTGACGAAATCTCAGCACGAATACAAGGGGCTCGTTTCGCATTTGTTAGTTTACGCCGACTCTGGCGTAGACGAGATGTTCGACTATCGACCAAAGGGCGGGTGTACTGCTCATCAGTCCGCTCCGTCCTCCTTTATGGTTGTGAGACCTGGCCACTGAGAGTGGAAGACATGAAAAGACTAGCTGTCTTTGATCATAGGTGCCTGCGTTCTATTTCCCGTGTAAAGTGGCATAATAAGGTGAGCAACATGGAGGTTAGGCGTAGAGTTCTAGGTAAACAGGGGAAATCAATCGACGAAGTCGTGAAGCTACAAAGACTGAGATGGTTAGGACATGTGTTACGTATGCCAAGCCATCGCCTCCCTCGACGAGCAATGTTAGCGGATATAGGGTCAGGCTGGAAAAAAGCTAGCGGCGGTCAAACAAAAACTTGGCATCAGTCAATGAAATCCACAACAGTTGGTCTAAGCCACGTAGAAAGGTGTAGACTTCCAGGCTGGGGTCCTCGGGACGGTAAAAATCTATGGTTGGAAACAATTGGTGACATGGCTCAAAATCGTTCTCAGTGGCGCAGATGCATCCACTCCCTGTGACTTATGATCTTCAATGAAACTGTTTTGTATTTCTTTATTACTCCTTTGTCTCACACCTCTGCTCACTGTTTCTATTATGCTTTTCTTGTACTTTCTTCTCTTGCTTCGCGTGCTACACGGAATGTGGCGACTT